GGGGGGGAGAAGAGGCAAGGCCGACCGGGGGCTGGCACAGCGAGGCGCCTCCTCCTCCTCCTCCTCCCCGGTCCCTCGCCTCTCGCCGCCGGCTCCGGCTCCGGCTCGGCTTGCGTGCGCCGCGCCTTGACCGGGGAGGATGCGCCTCCTTCCGCGCGCTGCCGCTGCCCTCTTCGTCTGGTGCCCGGGGAGCGCGGCGATTAGCCAGATGGGGACCGGCCTGGCCGGCTGACGGAGCGGGGGAGGAGGAGGAGGAGGAAGAGCAGGCGCTTTTGTTGCCGCTGCAACCGCTGGATCGCTTGCTGCAAGGAGAGTCGGGGCGGCCGGAGGAAGGAGGCGCCAGGTGGAGGTAAGCGGAGACAGGCGGTGGGGGGAGCAGCGAGCGCCCCAGTGTGTGTGTGGGGGAAACGGGAGAGATGGGGGTTCAGAAGCGGGCCGAAGGAATATCCGGAGCGGGGTGGGGGGGAAGGCAAGGCCGGCTGGAGCGGGAGGGGGAAGGGATGGAGAGAGGATGATGGCGCGGAGGAGGGATGGCCGGTCCTGGCTATGAGGCGGCGGAAGGATGCTTTCTCTCGCTTGCTCTCCCTTCCCCCCCTCCCAGACCTGATGCTCGCTCCGGCCTCCATCCCCTTCTTCCCCGTCGCGGCTCGGTTTGCTGTCTCTCTCCGGCACACACACACACACACACCCCACACACACTACCACCACCACAAGATCAAGGTGTGACTGTGAGGAAGGAGAAAACATTCGAATGTATTGTGCTCTATAGGCGATGTGATGGAGAGAGCTTGTGGAAGGCGAGGTGATCTCCCCGAGTGGTCCACGGGGCACTTCTTTGTGCGTATGTGTGTGTGTGTGCGTGCTGTGAGGGGGGAGAGCTTGTTCTCTCATTTCCTCCCCCCCCTCCAGCAGCAGCCTCCTCTTCTCCTCTAACCTCCTGGAGTAGCTGTAGGGATGGAGGAGAAAAGGCCAAAAAGAACCGAAAGCAAAAGCTGGGAGTAGGGGCCATCCCTGATAGATGGGGGTCATCCTTAGCATCTGGAAAGGGTTTCATCTCCAGCAAGTGCCCCACTCCCGTTCTCTCCCCCCCCACACACACACAGACACTTTGAGCCAGAGATGCTGTGAGGAAGGAAGGAAGGAAGGAAGGATGCGGCTAAAAAATCCTCCAGATGGCTGTGGCTGCTTTCCTTGTTGCCATGAAGGGATCCTCCTTAGCTCTTACAGGGCCTTACAGCAACTGCTTGGATGGAAAGGGCAAAGAAGGAGTAAAGAAGGGGGAAGGCAGATGGGCTGTGATTCCCCAGGGCAAGCGAGGGGGGGGAAGGGGGGACTATGACCCAGGCACGAGAGGCCTTGGGAGGGAGAGAGGCTGTTTTGATCCTCTCCAGCACTGCTGCACATATAGAAGAGATTATATCTACCTCCTGGTTATTGCATTTGAATGGTTTGCTAGTTTCTCATTATCCTGGATTGCAAAGGATGTGGAATTTGAGCCCCTAATATTAAATGTTTGGGAATGGCAGTGGCTGCTCAAGGAGGTGCATCCTGCAGGTGCTCAGAAACACACCCCAAAATGGTCTCTGGTTTGTTCCTGGCTTGTTCCTCTCATTCCAAAAGAAAGAAAGAAAGAAAGAAAGAAAAATCCTTGGGCATGATCCGTAGTTCATATTATGTCTGAGAGTAACCACCCGCACAGGGGACCTGTCATCAGAATCAGTTTGTTTTTTTAAAGCCTATAATTTTCACTTGCTGGGGGGGCAGGAGGAGACAAAAACTCATTTTCTACTTAACTCTCTTTTTAATCACTTTGAGTATGAGGACCATTAAGATGTAAAATGGTGGTGAGATCAAGCAGTTTGCATGAAGTGCTTTCCAGTATATTCCTAAGAAGTGGAAGTAGGGGTCTCTTGCCTCATCCTTGTTTCCTTTCACACCTCCAGTGAAGCAGGGTAAACTGCAGAGGTATGGAAAGAGGTTTAGATGGGGATAGGGGTGCCTTTTAGTGGAGCAAAGTAAAGAGATGTATCCCTTTTTTTTCCTCCCCCACTGGTCTCTCTTTCTCTCCATCTCCTTGTTTCCATCATTTCATTGTGGAAAGTTTGGCATTTCCCCTCCACACCTATTTACTCCCACTCCCTTTTTTTTTTTTTAAGTAAGGCGCACCATGTAAGATGAGATGCTGTGAAGCACAATTCTTGGGTTAGGGTTGCTAAACTATGGAACAGATGATATGTAAATCTCTGTTTTGCCACTTACTCTCTGAGTGACCTTGGGAAAGTCACTTGCGTCTGGTAGGCCTCCAGCTGCTGTTGGCGTCTTGCCATACGAGTGTATGAATGGAGGAGTTGTGTGCTATGTTCATCCAGAAGCATGCAGAGAAGCAGGCAGATATAGGTTGAAAGGTGAGTGGCTCTCCTGCTGCAACGATGCTGGAGGTTCAGCTAATGAGAGTTGGGCCTGGAGGTTTGGAAAGCAGGACTAAAATGTGCTGCTCCTCACGTTTAAAAAAAGGTCTTTTTCTAGAGATAACCCAAAATAAAACCTAGCTTCAAAGAAAGGGAGACAAGGAAACCGGGAGCAGTTCATTTTATCATCCAATCATAGGCACTATACTTCTTTCTCCCCCCACCCCACCATCTTGATGCAAAAAGATCTAGACCACGTAAATCTCTTCAATGGAATGATGGACAAATATTTTGATGTCCTGGGATAGAGAATAAAGGATAACGCAAGAATAGTGCAATCTCGTGGCACAACCAAAGAAAAATTAATCTCCCTTGGCAGTTTGGATCAGACTCGTCAAGGTAGGGCTGGAAAAAAAAACTTTACGAGGAACCCTTGAAAATATTAGAGGTCCATCATAGATTTCTAGGTACCTCAATTAACAACATTTGAAGTTTTTCTATCTATGCATCAAGGCCAGGATCTTCCTTGACTAAGAGCTACCATCCAACTGATTTGCTGTGTGTCGTACAATCTGCCTTTAAAGAGTCTACTCAAGAGCTCAGTGGTACAGCGCCTGCAGACACCCCATATCTCTAGTGAACTGGACCAAGTGGGAGTTAATGAGAGAGATTTGTCTGCTTCAAAACCACAACTATCACCTGTCAGTGGGCAAATGTTGATGCCACAGTCCAAAAACACCTACCCTGAGGTAAGCCCACTGAGGCTGGCTTCTGAATAGACAGGTATAGGGATTGCTCTGAGACTAAGGCAAGGACAGGTGGTGCCTTTATTAGATCACTAAAGACCATGTGCGTAAGCTAGCTTTTGACCCTGCAAAGGTCTTCATTCATTTTTGGCTGAGAATGCAGAGCCTGAGAACAACCCATTTGAGGTTGAAAGCTAACTTATTCTTGCTAATTGTAGGGTCAGGGACAGTCTAATAAAAATCCTACTTTTTCATTTTTCCCTTTTCATCACCGATTTTTTTTTCATGACCAGGTAATCAGGAGAGAATGGAGGACAGATGTAGCAGATCTCGCCAAAGCAGTAGTGGGCAGATTGGCCTAGAATCCAGCAAGTCGAGTCTCTGGGCTGGGGAGTAAAGAAAGTTCATTGGGAGAGATGCTGGCAAGGTGTTCAGAGCTGTAATTATTTCTTGTATTAATCTGACATCTTGAATTTAAATGTTTATTCCAGGACACATTTTGCTCTGCTTGACCTGGGTGCCAATATTGCTAGGTTCACTTCTACACCTGAGGAGACTACCATTTTATTCCCACATCTTTCTACTGCATTAGTACTTGCTTTGGTGAAGTGGCTCGGTCCACTTCTACACCCGAGGAGCCTACCATTTTGTTCCCACATCTTTCTACTGCATTAGTACTTCAATTTCTTATTTGTGATGTTTCAGTTCAGTTTTGTTTGCTTGCTTCATTTTGTTTTGTCACACTGATGGGTTACGTGTGTAAGTTCTGGCTTTTGATGACATGAGACTCTTTTCTTCAAACCTTCAGAATAGTTGCAGGTTGCTGCAACTTGAGGCATTTGCATTAAAGGAAGCTGTAAATGCCTCATCAGTTAAACTGGTGGGCAAAAAATAGGCTGAATTTCATTTCCTTTGTGGAGAGATGTTTGTGCTCAAACTTGAACAATCCTTCATCAGTTTCTGTGTTTTGGAAATGGTATTAACCTTCACAGAATCTACCTAAACCACAGAATCCTAGGGACTAGAATTCTGTTTGAATGAGAGGGACAGGACTATGTGGGCTTATATTCTCCCTCTCAAACATCTCATGTTCCTCATTTCCTCTTGGAAGCCAATGTTATTGTTATTCTGAATACACTTAACTTGTGTTGTGCTAGCATTGTTGTAGTTACCAGCGGGCCAGAAAACTATACAAACTTGCTCTCTTTTCCCCCCTATTGACCAATTATGATGTTGCACCTTGTAAATATTTCCAATAAACACAGACAAAATAAAAAAAATACTCCTTTGAAACTTAGAACTGATAAAAGAATATCATAAAACCTGAAAAATCCTATCCAAATGTCTCTAAAAATGGCTTAAAACACACTTAAATTGTAACATCTGAAAGTAATGAGAGAACTTTATTTCACCTATCTATCTATCTATCTATCTATCTATCTATCTATCTATCTATCTATCTATCTATCTATCTATCTATCTATCTATCTATCTATCTATCTATCTATCTATCTATCTATCGAAATGGCTTAAAACACGCTTAAATTGCAACATCTGAAAGTAATGAGAACTTTATTTCACCTATCTATCTGTCTGTCTGTCTGTCTGTCTGTCTGTCTGTCTGTCTGTCTGTCCGTCTGTCTGTCTATTTATCTATCTATACCAAGGAAGGGCATTTAATTCTTTCTCTTGGGGCTGAATTTGGAACATGTACACAAATTATACAGACTATGTATCATAATAGAGAACTGCTATGATAGCTCAGTGGTTGAGGTCTCTGGCTGCAGAGCCAGAGGTTGGGAGTTAAATTCCCCCACTTTACCTCCTTGACGGGGGCTGGATCTGATGATCCATAAGGTCCCTTCCTTGGGGCTGAATTTGGAACATGTACACAAATTATGCAGACTATCATCATAGAGAACTGCTATGATAGCTCAGTGGTTGAGGTCTCTGGCTGCAGAGCCGGAGGTTGGGAGTTAAATTCCCCCACTGTACCTCCTTGACGGGGGCTGGATCTGATAATCCATAAGGTCCCTTCCAGCTCTGCAGTTCTAAGATGACGATGATGATGCATATGTCACAACTGAACAGAATGCCATATCATTCCTTTTGTGTAGTGTTTCTGGTTAAGTTTGACATGAGATGCAAAACACAAGTCATTTCCGAGCTAGTGGAAATATTTCAGAGACAAGGCT